AAAAAAAAAAGTTTTGCCAGGAAAAAATTCATACACAGAAGAGAACTGCTCAGTAAAACCGCTGTGTCTTCCTCACCCTGGCTCCTACCATTTTATCACAACTGCTTCAACTTCCCATTTTCTTTAATTAAAAAAAATCTACTTCACTTTACATACTTCAGTATGCATCTCTAAAAAGGCATCTATTTTTTTTTGCATGATCATGATGCCATGTTCATGCCTGAAAAAAAAAAAAGACCTACAGTATTTCCTTTAAAGAGTGTATTGTATAACTTTAAAAGGGGTCCTGGTGGTGTCAGCTGTTAACCAAAATATTAGCTACTTGAACCTACCCGTCACTCGCTAGGAGAGAGTCGTGCCACCTGATTCGGCAAACATTACCCAATGCCACGGAGTCGACGGCATTGCCACGCGTCACCCAATAGTCGCACCGCAGAATGGAGAGTAGTCCCAGCCTGTGAGGCTGTGATCTCTAAGAAAATGAACTTCCTCACTCTTCCGCTTCAGAGAGCAGCTAGCTGGTGGGTTCAATGCCCAGAGCTGCCAGGTGCTTTAACCAGTGCCACTCTGGCTCCTCTCCCTGGAAACACGAGGGGCGTTTCTGCTCGGTTTCATGGGGTCGATGAGTTGGAATAGTCTCAGTTGCAAAAAGTCTGAGTTTTGGTTTCAGAAAGTGAGTCCGATATAAGGTGAATCCAAACTCGGGCAGAAATGAAGTATCATTAACCAGTATCGTTCAGTTACTCAACATCTCAAAACTCTGGTCAGTCTGTGCTAAGTGTGAATCCAGAATCAAGCCACTGAGTGGTCTCAGGCCCTTGGGGAAATGTCTTATTTTCTTTACGTCTTCGTTTCCCCACTGGCCAAAGGGTTTTAAGAACACTTTTGCGAATATTCTCGCTGTCCTGATTTTGTGATAATCAGGGCAGGCTAAACATTCGCTATATTAAGACCATGCATGTGTCCCCAGACCAAGGTCTTTCCCTGGGTCTGGTTTTAGAAATGCTGGTGATAAATAAAAGTCTGATTAATTAGGATCATTGTGTTTCAGAAAGGTCTGAGGCTCTAAGTATCTTGATTTAATGATAAGACAAATGACACTATAGCTAGTGAAATAAATAACCAATGCCAAATTTGCAGGGTGATTCTGATATCATTAGAAGCATGCCAGAACAGACTGGTGAAAAAGAAATCATGTAATATTTTTCTTCAATAAAAAAAAAAAGAACACTTTTATATGCATATTGTTGGGTGGAGTTAGCAAGACAATCTCGGGGAAGCACTTATCTAGCCTGGTGTTGGCACAACACTCAACACAATGAACTATTATGGAGGTGATCAATTGCACTTAAAATTAGGACAGAATCCTCCTTGGCAGTGAGGATGTCAAGACCGCGTTTCACATCCTCTGGGGAACATCCTTTGAGAGATCAGGAGGGATCAGTCCCTGCAGAAGGACATCATGATTGACAGAGGGTGAGTGAAAAAGACAAAGACCCTCAGTGAGACTCGAACTCCAGTCTCGGGTTGTCAAGCAGCGCCTGTGGTTGGGGGTACAGTAATGACCCCTTGCAGGCAAGGAGCTGTTTCCAAGCACACAGGCAAACAAGCTGCCAGTGCGCCAAAGCATTCCCCCAATCAGACCAGGTGGAGCTCTGGTGGCCTAAAGAGTAAGGAGCTGCAGTCGGGACCCAAAAGCGCCCAGTTCGAGTCTGCCAGCTGCGTCAGGGGACAAAGATGGGCCATCTCCTCCCGCGTGATCCGCAGCCTCCGAAAACCCTGCTGGAGGCTCTGCTACGTGTGGGTGCTCCTGTTACAGTGGCGCCGTGGTTAAGGGATTCCGTTGTTAACGAAAAGGTTAGCGGTTCAAACCCACCAGGCGCTTCGGGAGGGAGAGAAAGGTGTTGCAATGGGCTCATCACCGTGGAAAGCCCATGGGGCCGGGCCACCCCGGGGAGGGCTGCAGGGGGACAGGGAAGGACCCGGTGGCAGATCGCGGATTGACACATGCTATGAAAACCAGCTGGGAAACGGGGGCAGGCTCATCTTTTAGTTCAGGGGTGAGTGGGATCGGGACACCCCGCCAGGTGCCACCTGTCACCACCTGTCACCGTGACAGGTGCCACCTGTCACCTCCGAAGCGTCAGCCCCGCCGTTTCACTCGCGTCCGGCGCCTGCGGAGTGTCAAGGGCGGGGCTCTCCGAGGTCAGGATGACGGACGCGAGGCTGTCTTCCCTCCGGGACCCACTCGGGTGTTGTTTCGGGGTCACGCCGCCCCCCTTCCTCGACACGGCCGTGCACCAAACGCACGATCCGCGGGCGCCGGCCGCTCACCTGGCGCCCAGTGAAGAAGATCGCCGAAGTGTTCATAGGTGTCTCCTCCGCCCTGGAGAAGCCGGGGTGGGTGGGCAGCGTCAGCTGAGAAAGGCCATCGGCGCGCCCGCCCGGCGGGGGCGAGCCCGGGCACCGCGCCCAAACTGCCTCCCAATGCAAACGCGCCCGGCCCGCCCGCCTACGGCGCCGCGGAGGGGACAGCCCGGCTCTCGCGAGAACTCCGGGCGCGCGCGCAGGCGCATGACGCCAGTGGGCGTGTCTGCCACTGCCTTGCTCCGCCCCCAGCCCCGCCTCCCGGGGCCCGGGGATGCTCTGGGGATGCTCTCGGGCTGCTGCTGCCCAGTGCTCCAAGGACCGGACCCCGGCCAGTGTCCAGAGACTGGCTAAAACAAATTAAAGGCCATGTCTACTTTCCAAGGCCACTTCCCGTTTCCCCATTTCATCAGCTGGTTCATTTCCGTCCACATGGATTGACACGGCGCATGTGCCAATGTCATCAAGTCTATGGGAGATGGTGAGAGTGGCCACAGGGCGAGAACCCAGAGCTGTGGCTCACAGGGTCAGTACGAGGGGCACTGACCTCTAACACAAGACCGTGGCAGGCTGTGAGCGCAGATGCTGGCACGTACATGAATGAGTGGATGGAGGGAGCTGTCCAGGTTCCTGAAGAAGCTCAAAACCAGAAACAGATAGCGCAT